TTTGCAAGTATTAGGAATAACACCTCCCAAGGATGAAAAAGAAAGCTTGTATATACGAACTATGGGAACAAGATCCATTTTATAGAGTAGCTGGTGTCTTGTTAGTCTTTTATTTTTCTGTTTACTGAGGATACTGTACTACAGTAATATGGCCAGGGCAAGGCCAAAGACCCATGAGTACTTGAATCAAAGGACAAAGGAAAAATTATTTTGATTTGTTTTTGTTAGCTTTGAGCAACCAATTTATTCAAAAAACCAAAAACTAATAACACAAGAGTTATTTTTTTACCACCCATTCCAGAAATTCCTATAGGAACCTTTGCTTTTGCTTGATCTTTAGCCCAGTGCCCTAGAATTATCTGGGGCAACTGATAAAAACCAGGATTTCCAGATCCCACACAAAGGATTCTGATTCAGCAGGTCTGGAGTAGGGTTCAGGAATTTGCCTTTTTTACTGAGTTCCTCAAACAATTCTTATGTAGGTAAACCCCAAACCACACATTGAGAAACACTGCTCTGGCCTCTAGTCATTTTTTCCTCATTAAAAGAAAAAAAATAGTGACTTTTTTCAACAAGGGATTCTTACAAATACAGATATATATTATCAGAACAGATCTTACTGCGCTGCAGACCTATCATACCAGTGTTAAGATTTTACCTGAATCCTCCTCACTTAACTAGAACAGAGATTTTGTGTAAGTAGCGGCTGCTTTCAGGAAGCATGATCAAAATAGAGACATATAAAAACAACAAACAAACAACTTTAAAGAAAGCAAACAAAAAATCCAGTGACCAAACTTATTTTGCAGTAACTTTATTTGTATTACTAAAACATCTTTTAATTAATTTTTTATTATTGAAGTGTAACTGACATACAATGTTATATTTTCCGTGTCCAACATATTGTTTCAACAATTCTATACATTACTCAACACTTACCATGATAAGCGTAGTCACCATCTGTCACTGTACAATGTTATTACAATATTATTGCCTATGTTCTCTATGCTGTACTTTCATCCCCGTGACTTATTTTATAACTGGGAGTTTGTACCATCCTCCCTCTCCCTTCCCTCAAGCAACCACCAGTTTTATTCCCTGTGTTTGTGAGTCTGTTTCTGTAGTAACTTTAATTGCCTATCGTTCACAGTAAATATCTTAATTCACTGCTCACTGGATATCTGGTTTCATAAAGGCCTGGGGAACACCGAAAAGTCTCTGCTGTCTCGTCTTAGAAACCCAGTGTCTCACCTTGGCTGGGTGTCTTAGAGATTAATGATGCCATATTGTGCCATGGAAATGTTTCATGATATAGTGGGTGGAAGATATTAGCCAAAAACCGGGAGTGGGCTTAGAGAGAAAAGACCATGATAACAACCTGCAATGTTGCAAGGAATTCTGTAGCCCAAACCCAGCTTTTTCGTTCTGGCCCTGGAAGCAACATCACTTTCACTCAATTCCCCCTCTCTTTACCCATAAAGTGGTATAATGAATTTTTTTTTACGAAGTCATGAATGTTTCATGTATAGGTGTAGAGAAACTCTAAAACCATAAAGTGTTAAAGGTGAACGAATTTTAGTGGTCACCAAATTCAACCTCCTCATTTTATAAAACAGTATACGGAGGCCTAAATTAATTGACTTACGCAAGTCCACAAACAACACACAGCTAGTCATTATTTTATTCTAAAAAACAAAACAAAAAGAGAAAAGAAAAAGATTACTCCCCCCCCCACCACACACAAATTATTTACTCTTTAGAGCTACTCTGATCCTCATCTCAGCATTCAAAGTGCCAGTGCTTTATTTTGATGTCCTAATTCTGGTATTTCTGATTTAAAAAGTATTTGTGTCCTATGTTTTTGTGGTTACGTAAGATAGGAATAAAATTATGAAGAGCTGGAAAAAAACAAAAAGCCTCAGATTATTGATAAAAAGGAAAGCCTGCAGTGTGAAGTTATGTCTCCCTCCTTCCTTCCCTCCAACCATTCCTTCCTTCCTCCCTCCCCCCCTTCCATCAAACATGCTGGGAGTACAAAAATGATTATGGCATTTAAATTAAAAAGAATGATTATGGCAGTTTCTCCTGTTAAAAAGCTCACTATTTAACCAGATTCAGAAAGTAACAAGTACTTATAAAAATCGCAAGTACCATGATAAGATGTAATAAAAGGAACATCTTTGTTGTAAAATGAGTTGAAGTTGTTCAGACTAAGAAAAGCAGAGGGCTCAGTTTTGCTAGAGAGATGTGTTCTATGTAAAAGTCTATGGGTGAATGAGCCGGGCATGTTAGGGAATGGCTGAAGTGAAGTATAGGATAAATGACAGGAGATGGGGCTGGAAATATGGTGTAGGAGCAGACTAAGAAGAGCATTTTATGCCATTCTAGAGGAATTTGAACTTTGCCTTATATAGTCCCACACAGTCTAGTCCTGAAGACAATAGCTATACATGGCTATTGGCCACTTGAAATGTGGCTACCCCAAACTGAGACATGCTGTATGTATAAAACATACATTGGATTTTGAAAATTTAGCATGAAAAAAAAGAAAATTAGCCATCTCACTAATAACTTTTTATATGGCTTATATGTTCAAATGATAATATTAATATTATTAGACATTATATTTCTATTCCATTATATTTTTATTTCTATTTTCTATTTTTTATACTGTTGTAGAAACAATAGTAATGTACTCAAAATCATGGGTTTTTAAAACTTTACTGTTTTTAATTACTGAAGTACTTTAAACTACCAATATCATGATTCCAGGCCTAAATGATTTAGTCTGTATCTCTAAAAAATAACATTTTCTATGTAAACAAATAACAATATCAAATACTTAATAGTTAACAATAATTACTTAACATTGTCTATTATTCAGGCTATATTAAAAATTTCCAATTGTCCCCCAAATGTCTTTATAGCTGGTTTGTCAAAACCAGAATGCAGTCAAGGACCATCATTACATCTGCAGGTCCCTGACCTCTTTTAATTTTAAATAGTCCCCTCTTTCCCTCTTATTTTTTTGTGTCACTAACTTGATAAATAGACCAGCCCAATTATTCATGTTCTACCTTCTCAGTTTGTCTGATTTGTTGTTGTTTAGCTTGTTACTCTGTATTTCCTATAATGTGTAAATTAGACCTTCAGGCTTGAGTAGATTCCAGGGAAACATTTCTTTCGCTCTGATATAAAACATATAATGTTGAGTTCCTCATATTTTATCTCATCAAGAGATAATACATATCAGATTTCATCACTGTTTGCAGTGCCAAGGTTGACCATTAGATTGTAGTGATGACAAATTTATTGCTCCAATATGAAGTTGTGTTTTCAGTTGGTAACCAGGAAGCTTTTAACTAAAGGAATACTGCAATTATGTCTTCATTGTGGAGTAGTGTAGAGTATGGAGGAGGAAATAAAAGAAGAGAGAAAGTAGAAAGACTACTCGTAGTCTATTACTACAGTCTAGGAAAGAGAGAGAAGATGATGATCTTACTTTGAACTGGGGATCATGCTAATTCCTTAGCACGTGTTACATTTATAAAACCTCACACAACCATATGGGATAAGTTTTCTTATCCCCAACGTCTGGTTAAAACTGAGCTTTACAGAGATTGAGCAGTGGCAGAGTGGTGATTAAAACGCAGCTCTGTCTGACATCAAAAATCCATATACTGGACCGCTCTCCTATGCTTACTGCAATAATAATTTGGTTTGAGAGGCTTTGGTTTGAACATTTTTATTTTTTATCTTGTTTTTAATTTTTTTTTTGAGAGAGAGAGAGAGAGTGTGCAAGCCTGTGGGGAGGGAGAGAGAGAACCTTAGCAGGCTCCACGCCCAGCATGAAGCCCCATGCAGGGCTTGAACTAATGACCCTGAGGTCATGACCTGAGCTGAAATCAAGAGTCCGACACTTAACTGACTGACGCACCCAGGTGCCCCTGAATGTTTTGAATGCTTTTAAAAATTTGGTGACCGGGACACCTGGGTGGCTCAGTCGGTTAAGCGTCTGCCTTTGGCTCAGGTCATGATCCCAGGGTCCTGGGATCGAGCCCCTCATTGGGATCCCTGCTCAGCAGGGAGCCTGTTTCTCCCTCTCCCTCTGCTGCTCCCCCTGCTTGTACACTCTCTCGCTCTCTGACAAATAAATAAATAAAATCTTAAAAAAAAAAATTTGGTGACCAACGAACTACTTGGGGTATGGAAGAAATAACTCTAAAATGTTTCTCTTGGACGATTAGGTGGTATGGCTGTTGAATTTGAAATGTCATTTGGATATGTCAACTGAAAATATAGGTCTGGAATTCAGAAGACAGATCAAAGAAAAAGTAGAGATGAGTAGAATTGTAGATTCAGGAGTTATCTGCATAGATATGTTAGCTTAGACTTGGGGAGTGTATAGAATCACCTAGTATATTTATACAGCCTTGAGGCACCTTCACTTTTTATGTGTAAGCCATCTGAGATTAGCAAACCAATATCAAAAGGGAGACAACTGCATGAATTAAAAATGCCATTTTTGATTTTTATATTCCTGAAAAAGTTAAAAATATTATAAAGAATTATTAGTATAATTATTATTTCAGTATAAATTCTTTATGTTACTGTGTGGGAAGGTTAGAGTATTTCTAATGGAAGACATTTTCCCTGTGTTCGGTGGTTATCATGATCCTTATAACTAAATCAGTTCTGGTAGGCAGAAGTTTATTTATTTATAGAGTGAGACAGAGTCTTTTAAACTAGGCTGGTCATAGAAAACCTTGATATTATACTTACTATATTATGGAATAACCCATACTTTGAACAATCTTGAGGGAAAAACACCACAGTTGCCTCTCAGATTCTTAGTAGTCTAGAATTCTGAAAATTTGTTCTGCTCTATTTGAGGTTGAATACAAAATGGTATGTGGTGGTAAAATAATGAATTGTTTCGAATTCTTGACAAAAGCTAAAAGGTTATTTTTCTAGTCTTCTGAAATTATCTTTCTTTCTCTAGGGCAGTAGTAAGGATCTGTTTTTCATTTAATGGTCTTTCTCAAGGAACTTCTGAGAAATCGGGTAACTCCTTTCTCCTGAGGTAAGTAAAGTGTTAAAAGGGACATTCATCAAAATTCAAGATAAACAGGTATATTTGCTCCATATTTATAAAGTTATAGAAAGTTGAAATTTCTTTCTTAAGGAATTTTTGATTACCTTAAATGGCAATTACAAAAGGAAAAAAAACCCGCAATATTTTGGAACAGGGGTCAGATAAAACCAGGTTTAAATAAATTTCACGTAAAGTCTTTAAGAGGGAAAAGTAGTCATAAAAAATGCATTCTGAGGACTGTGTGTGGAAGATGAGGAAAGGCAGTCCCTCCTCTATTCTCTGTCTTCCTGAAGTGAGTGGTCAGATTGGCTGGCTTTTCCTGTACAACTGAAGTGTCTTCAAGACATGGGATGATCTCAGTGAGGCTGCTCCTTCTCAGTTTCCAGGACGCACAGGATGCACTAATCACAAAAGGGGAAATTTGTTATTCTTATAGTAAGAAAACTGCAGTGATGGGACAGTTCAATTAGCCCTATGAATAGATGTCACAATCTTTAATTTTAACTTCGATAAAGCTATGCAACACTTATTGGTGCAACCACATATTTTATTGCAGCTTACCCATGAGAATAGTTTCCATATTTTATTGTATAAACATTACTGTAAACCTTATTAGTCTTAGCACTCTTACCTTCTGCTCAGTGTTTATGCTAATAAACCATTGCTAAAGAGATGAATGCCTCCAATGGATCAACTGTTGATTAGTAAATATGATAACTTCAGCATGCTGCCGGCTACATTTAACCCAACACCCTTATTTTATAGATGATAAAACTGGAACTCTAGAGACTAGAGTTTTATCCAAAGTCACACAGATATTTAGAGCCAGAATTAGCCTAGAACCCAGACGTCTGACCTGAAGCTCTTCCCATTGCCTTCATACTTAGATGGGGTCAATTTTCTGACAGATTAGTTCTTTAGTGATGATGGAGGTTACTCTACTGAGATGGCAAGTTGTTTTCATCTTACATATTACTAACAGTAAGATTGGATCAACTTCCTAGAATCAGTTGTATTATATCCATCTGGATGCATTGTTTGTGGTCATTTTTAAAAAAAAAATGGTGGGTGGTTTAGAGGCATTTTATTTTCCTGGGGCATTGGAGATATGTGAAACTAACAACATGTAGTGGAAAGAAACTTGGATTATAGTTCTGTCTTAATCATCGACCCTGTTAAAGTCACTTAACTTCATGGCATCTCAGTTTTTCAAGCTGTAAAATAAAGACCATAGTACCTACTTATATAACAAAGGTGGGGAATTTTCAAAAAGATCCTCTAAACTTGTGGTAGCATGTTTAGGTTGACCAAATGATAAGCCTGTAGAGAGAGCTTCGTATCATTTGCTTTGGGAGTTTCTTACTGGCAAGCTGGCTCCTATACCATTGAAGACTCTGAAGGCGTGGTGATAAAAATGAACATCCTATTTATTTTGTAATGCGCTTGGGATGAAACACACCAGTGTGAGTCTTAAAGAGCACTGACTGCTGCTAATTAACATTATGCCACATTTTATAACATCCTAAGGAAGGTTGGACAGAGCTGACTCATTCCCATTGCACATGGTGTACTCATTGAGCAAACAAGAACACAGTGGACTCCTGAAAGTTGGGATGTGAACATTTTCTATTAATTTCGAGGAACTTGTATGTTGTGTGCACAGCTGTGCTGTCCTGTTCCTCATGCAGGAGGCAGAAATGACTTTCCGGTCCCTCAGTAATAGTAGTAAGAAAAATAGCTATAATTTATCCAACTCTTATTTTATGTCAGTCACTGTGCAACAGTTATACATGTATTATTTCTAATTCCCAAAGTAGACCCATGAGGGGTATTCTTATACTTGTTTTACTGAATAATGTTTTTATAGAAAGAAAATAAAATATAATTTGAATGTCTTTGTTTCCATTTCTACTACAGCAGGTATGCTTGTTTCTCATTTTTCCTTATGACTCTGGGCAAAGCAGAGACAAGCATTATTAATTCCCATCAGCAGATAAACTAAGGCAAGATGGAGTTAAATACCTTGCTCGAATATTAGCATCAGATCTATGACTGGGGCCTTAATTTCACCTCGGGCTCTGTTTTCATTAGACCACTGGTTTTCCAAATTAACACATTCAACAGTTGAACGCTGGCTATGTACTCGAATCTAGGGAGAGAATACATACGCAGCTCCTGCCCTATTTGAATGGGGGTGAGTCCAAATCAGAACCCTCTGAACAGGCCTACCTTTGGGGCTCCGATGGCTTCATCTTTTCCCTTCCCTCTTCCTCACACTATGGTTAGGCCCCTTGACACGGGTGTCAATAGTTAAAATTAACTCATCATCACTACCATTTGTCGAGCACTGTTTGGAAGGGTGAAAAGCGCTCTACCTGTATCATCTTACTTAATCTCTTCAGCGCCCTGGGAGGAAGGAAGATTCTAGTTTTTGTTTTTTGTTTTTGTTTTCTTGGCCAGGGAAGAGACACGAGAGGATGCCAAGCGAACAAGAGGCAGAGGTTGAGCCTCAAGGCTGCTCTAAAATCAGCTGTTCTGTCTCTCGTCCCACATGGCTTCTTGGTGAATGGACCTCAGTTTCTTGTAAGTAGCAACTGGTGAATCCACTTTCTGTCTTGCTCCACCTTCTGCAGGCTACAAGGGCAAGGAGAGCTGAGGTGCGCAGGTCATTTGGAGAAGGGAAAAACCCAGGTCCTCTGGTTACTCTGGGATTATGGCAGGAAAGTTATAAAAAGGCTTGGAAGTAGCAGGCTCGAGCTGTGGGCTCTGTGAATGGGGAGGTTTGACTTTTGAGGCCACTCTATGAAGTAGTTTAGTTGTGATACTGAGAATTCAAACACCAAACTTGGACTATGTGGCAAATAGGGAAAAGAAATGTTAAGGAAACTCTTGGAGGGATTTACTGGAGGAAAAGTTTCAAAGCGTTTAGCTAGGATCATCTCTAGTGTTCCAGGGTTGTTCTTTTTCTTTTTTTTAAAGTAGTCTCTTACAGTCTTTTTTTCTTTTCTAAGATTTGTTTATTTATTTTAGAGAGGGAGGGAGAGCACCAGGATGGAGAGGGACAGAGAAAGAGGGAGAAACTTTTTTAAAGATTTTTGTTTATTCATTAGAGAGAGAGCACAAGTGGGCTTGGGGGTGGGAGGCAGGGGTGGAGGGGCAGAGGGAGAAGTAGGCTCCTCGCTAAGCAGGGAGCCTGATGCGGGGCTCAATCCCAGGGCCCCGGGATCCTGATCTGAGCTGAAGGCAGACGCTTAACTGACTCAGCCCCCTAGTCACCCCCCAGTCTATTTTTGTAGCGAACTAAACTCTATTCCTGACCGACTTTAGCCTCGTCTATGTGGTGTGATTTCTTTCACATAATTTCCTGCTCCTCTCTCGTCTTTAATCCTAAATCCCCAGCTCTACACTGAGCCCTGTTTCTGAGGCAAAGGATCTTGGCGCTGCATGCTGAGTGGTGCTTTGCATGCAAGAGCTTCAAAAATATGTGAATAGTGAGTAAAAATAAGGATAAAAAAAGATTTTTTTTGGCACAGTCATTATTTTCAGCTTGGTAGGATAAATTGCTTCACCTTGCTGATTTACAGAACTCCAGGTAAATTCTAGAGTGCTCCATCAATCCTATCTTATTACACAAATAACTCTCTCTCTGCTTTGTGTCCAGAACAACTGATATCAATCAGCTCCTTATTTCTAGCAAGCAGCTCATTTTCTTGATACATTGATCTAACTTGCCTATTGAATCACTAATAATCAGTTTCTGATCCCTGCTTCTCCACTTCAGTAATAACTTAACAGATAGTACTTTGTTTCAAAGTCTGTTAGAATATCAGAAGAATGCTTCATTGTTAATGACTGAACCCAAGTGATAAAATAAAATTTAATTATATAATTAACTCTTGGCAGAAAAGTATACAATTTAGTTTTACCCTTACTCTAATCATACCAGTTCTATGTATTTTAAATAGGTAAACAATCATTTATAGGGTTTATGTATTTGATATTATACTAGCCACTTGAAACATACTTAATGGGCTACTATAATTCTGTCCTAAAATTCATTTAAAATTTTGAGTCTTACACTTTGTTTTATTAATTTATGTATTAAAAATGTATTAAATGAATGTTATTTGTCAATCTTGGACTACATTATTTAGAGGCTTAAAATACAGTTAGTATCAGGCTCCAGGGAAATATGATATAAAATTGTATAGTTCATTGTTTATGGATTACCTTGGTTATTTTATCACTCAATATACAAGGCAATATTGAACATGTTTGTGTGCCTTATAAATGTTTAAAGGTCATGTGGGCTGTTGATAAATGACTACCTTCTGGTTCACTCTTTATTGGTAAGCTATTCAGAAAAAAATTACTATATTCGAAAACAAAATTAATGGTATACTTTTCTAAGGCTTGGATCAGGAAAGTGGAAAAGTGCTCAGGAAAAAAACTAAAGCTAAAACCAGAAATTTCTCAGTACTTAAACTTTCTTTTACTGTTTAATATAGTTGAGTTCCTTTAATAATTTTAAATGAAGCAACTTCATGTATAAATTAACCAAACCTAGTGATTAGTTGTTTAAGCTGAAGTTTTCTCACACCCTTAAATTCCCCTTAGCTTCCCTAACTTCCCCTTAACTATTATAAGAGTTTAAATGACTTTCAAAAGATTTAAAAAGGGGGCACCTGGGTGGCTCAGTCGTTAGGCATCTGCCTTCGGCTGGGGTTGTGGTCCCAGGGTCCTGGGATCGAGCCCCACATCAGGCTCCCTGCTCAGCGGGAAGCCTGCTTCTCCCTCTCCCACTCCCCCTGCTTGGGTTCCCTCTCTCGCTGTGTCTCTGTCAAATAAATAAATAAAATCTTGAAAAAAAGATTTAAAAAGCCCTGAAGTCCAACCATATCCCAGCTTCATTGGATTAGGTTCGAGGCTGTGGTATCCCCACCCCCGTCCCCTAGTGGATCCCATGTGCAGACAAGAGTGAGAACTGGTGGTAGAAACACCCTCTCTTAGTTCTCAGGGGAGAGAATTTTCAGGCATCTTCTGAGATTCTCCCCTGCTCTGCTGTCTTTCACAACCAATTCCCTTGAAGAGCCATTATAGTCTAAAGTCAATTTAGTCCATTTGCCTTAGGATATCCATGAATGTATATGCTTGTTATTTCTGAAAAAAAAAAAAAATCTTGTTCTATTCTGTTGCTTTAGCTTGGGTTTTTCTGTGTTCTCTCTTTTGTGGTCTCTACTCCATAAATGACAATTTACTTCTTAGAGGAGCCATAATTCTAAAATGTGTGCAGCAACCTATGATTTAGTAATATTTCATGCAAGCTACAAATTCCACATTAACAATATTATCTTACGCTCAAACTATATATGAGATAAATTTTAACATCCTGGTTCATAGCTCCATAAATTTATAATCTCTCACCTCTTCAACAGCAAAAGGCTATTTGATTATAAATTTCAAAATTCTCCTACATTTTCCAGGATTATGGAAAATCAAGTTTATTTGACAGGTATGCATCATAGTGTAGACTTTAACTGTAATTGTATTAGTTTACACTTCTTACAAAGACAGTTTGAATGGATTAATTACTAAATGACACCAGGCTTGTAAACTTTTATATTATGACACTTTGAGCTGGAGCTCCCCATTAAGCTCAGTTCAGAACCACTTTATGCTAAACTGAACTGTTAAAGAAAGCAACGTTGGGTAATAAACCATTTAGATACAAGTTCTAACATAAGAAACTTAGCCAGGTTGATTTGCTTGGTGTGGCTTGGCATTTGTCTTAATCTCTCAAGGTTTCTTTCCGCCCCCTCTAGTTTTCTTTTTCTTTTTTTTTTCTGTTTTAATTTAACATTATATCTTGAGCATTTTCTCATGTTTTTATTTTTTTGTTATGTTAATCACCATACATTACATCATTAGTTTTTGATGTAGTGTTCCATGATTCATTGTTTGTGCATAACACCCAGTGATCCACGCAGAACGTGCCCTCTTTAATACCCATCACCAGGCTAACCCATCCCCCCACCCCCCTCCCCCTCTCCCCCCTCTAGTTTTCAGTCAGAAGTCTCTGATCATTGCTCCCATTCCAACCTCCATGATTTTCTTCTTTAAATCTTCTTTCCACAAGTTGCTTGTTCAGGTAACAAGTCATCAACTTCCATTTACATCATCATTTCTACCTGTGTCAGCCCTCCATAAACCCCTTCTTTGCATTTACTTTTGTGATGTATTCATTCTTTATAAACTACCTTTGCTTACTTGGGGATAGAAATGGTGCTAGTGTGGTCTGATGAGACTCTGATGGAGCAGAAAGACAGGCAGAGTCCTCACTGGCTGCTCTGGAACTTGTCCTCTACTTTGAAGGTCAAAGACACACTCCTGATGGCATCCAGGTCTAAATAGATCCTGGGAGACTGGGTAGAAACAACTAAAATCCAAGCAAGACTTAGGTAGACACCAGACTGTCAATTTAATAATTTTCTGTAAGAAATAACTGTTAGGACAATGGAGAAACTACAACCTATGTGGTTAGGTTGTGCTCTTGCTGCAGTCAGCCTACGTGGGAAACAATCAGCGAGTTTCTTTGAGGAGGTTAAAATCGAAATACAAACAATTGGCATCAGTTTAGGAAAACCTCTTCTATAATAGAGTCAAGAAAATAAATGCTAGGTTAAGTAATATAAATGAGTCAAGTCATCCAGGATGGGGATCTAAAAATTAGAGAAGGCAGGCATGGTTAGATTTTGCTCACCCTGATCCGTGGGATTATTGCCCCCCTTTCTCCCAGAGCACTGATTTCCCAAAAAAAGCCAGAAATCTGAATTTTTAAAGAATCATCAGTTTGTGGCTAAATCTGTCTCAATTTGAACATCAAAACAAGTAACAATAGCAAAAAATTATAATCCATTGTATATATATATCATGATCTATTGTACGAGTTACTAGTGATGGGTAAACAAAATCACAGGGAAAGGTCTTCCTAAACCAACTGATAAATGATGATGGAATGATGGAATAATTAATACTACTTATTAATTATAAAAGGAAAAACAAGAACTTTACAGTGGAGAAACCTAGCAGAAAATACCTTAACACAGTGATTAAAGTTAATGTTGCGGGTAACAGGGCAAATTGACATGAGTGCCTCCTGATATAATCACTAAGAAGATAAAAATATCACTGTGCTGTTCCTGACAAAAATGCATAAAGTTAATCTAATCATAAGGGAACATCAGACTAACCCAAACTGAGGTGCATTTTATTAAATAAGTAATGTATTCTACTTAAATGTCATTGTTGTGAAAGACTGAGGATCAGTTCCAGATAAGAGGAGGCTAAAGAGACATGGCAACCGAATCAATGCTTGATCCGTGATTTTTGTGGTTGTTATACAGGACTTTACTAGGATGGGATAATTGGTAAAATCTGAATAAGGTCTATAAAATAGGTGATAATATTGAACCAATGTTAATTGCCTGATTTCAAGAATTGTACCATGGCTAGATAAGAAATACACACTCAAGTTTTTAGGGGTAAATGGGCATTATGTCTGCAACTTATAATCAAATAATTCA